GGAGTTGTTCACGGAGTTGGTATGCCTGTAAGGCGCTTCGGGCGTTGCTTAAGCCCAACATTGGCCCCTCGCTGCGGGTCACAGCGTCGAAGCCACCTTTGCTGTCAGTGGCCACAATGCCGCTGAGGAACTTCATCATGAAGTTTGCTCGTGCCACCTAATCTCCTGGAGGTAGTGCACAGCATCCGTTTAACTGGCACCAAAGCAACCTTGTCCGGTAGTTGTGGTCTTCTCCCTCCAGGATACACTGGATTTCGCCATCATTTGTCGAGATGGCTTTCCGGCGTAGGCGCCAAGTGCGCCAAGCCACCACATTGAGCTTGCCAGGCTCTCCTTTGTTTTGGGCTTTGCCTCCCAAACACGTGAGGAGGCCGCCGGTGCTATCGCCTTTGGGGCGATTTGCATGGGCTTGGTCTGCCAGCGTCACCACGGTGGTGTCCTGCCAGTGCTCAACATCGTCCAGCCTCCACATTCTCAATGTTGTAGGCTCCCTGCGTACCTCGATGATGAGGTCTCGAATTTCCTTTGCAACCTGCAGGGTCTTGAGGACGGTGAGCTCGGTCAGCAGGAGGTTCACTCGGGCGCATATTTGCAATTGGGTTTGTGTAGCAACCCACTGCAAGGCGCCAAGTGAAGCGCGACATGCTGCCATTTCTGCTGGTGACATTTCTTGTTGAAGGTCTCCTCGAAGTCGGTGATCATCTATGGCCAGGTCGGGGATCGTCTCGACATAGAAGTCCTGGCTCAGCTGAACCCATCGTTGACCTTGTCGTTCACAGACTTGTAGATCCAGGCCTGTGTGACGGTACTCTTGGGTTTTGACCGTTCCCCACTTGTAGGCCTTGTCGATCTCTTGGCGGACTTTGAGCCATTCTTCACATTCGAGGTTGCCGGCTCTGTTGAAGTCGTCGACGTGGCCGCCAACAAATCCGATGGTTTCGAACTGGTCACCTTCATTTCGAGGATTGGGATTCGGGCGAGTCCAGACCCAAAATGATGAGTCGCCCAAAATCCTCTTTCCACCAAGCTTCGTGAAGGTGCGGTCAACATCTTCCCAGAGTCCTCGAGGTGCTGTGGAGTTGCCGTAGACGTTCTTGAGGATTCGAAGAACTTCATGTTCTTCAGCACCAAGAGCCTGTTTGAGCTCTGGGACACCATAGGTCCAAATCTCGCGGGCTTCTTCAGTCTTGCCCGTCTGGAGGAATGCTGTTTGCATATCGAGACCTTCAAGCTGCCAGCCTCGTTGAGCCACCATGCACAGTGAGAGGTTGCGCATGAGCTGACTTTGCACTGGTGCCGTGGAGTTGAACGAAGGGTCCAAGAGGTCGGGGTGCATGAAGCCAAGAACCACGATTCTCGCCTTTGCTTTGCGAGAGCCATCAGGAGAGTAGGTGGTGTTCTCCTTCTGTGCTGCTTCAAGTGCTTCTTGTCGTGATTCTTCAGGTACGGGCTTCCAGACCAGAACCCATCTGGCTTTGAGGATCCGTTGAGAATCCTTGGCCTTGTTCTGCTCGGAGACGGAGAGACAGCGTCGAACAGCTTCTGAGCGGATGAAGCTGCTGACTTCAGAAGCCTTGGCGTTGTCAAAGAGCTTGCGGTCCTCCGCATTGAGCTTTCTGTAGCAGACTTCAGCGCCACTGACCTTCTTCACCAAGTAGGCCTGAGGATTTCTCATGAACATCTTCCTCTGGCGGTTGGAGGTGAAGTTGAGGTCAAATTCCATCACATAGCCACAGTCAATCTCCTGAATCGCCGTGTTGAGGTCGAGCAGGAGGTCGTCCTTGTCAGACTCAGTGCGAGGTCTTTTGGCATCGGGCTCTTCAAGCGTGTCACCGGGTCTTGTTTCACCCTCTTTTGTTTCACCATCTTCAGGTCCAGGGTCTAGGAGAGGTGTTTTGGAGGTCGTTGAACTTCTCCTGGAACCAGTAGTCTTTTGTTTCTTCCAGGAAGAGTCCTCATTGCCGGTGAACTCGTCATCGTCGGAGGTCTTCTTGTCCTCATAGTCGTTGAGCATCTCCTTGTTGGGGTTGTCTCCAGGTTCGTCAGGAAGTCGTGGAACGAGAGGAGGTGGTCGTAAATCACCAGGAAAGCCAAAGCGGTTGAGCTTGTCCTTGGAGTGAAATCGGACCTTAGGCATGTAGGTTTCCTCATTGGGCTGCTTCGGCAGGAAGGGCTCCAAGGTCTCTTCTTGTTTTGGCTCCTCACCAGTGACATCGGTGTAGGCACGACCAGGTAACATGTCCTTGAGTTCTTTCCACTTCCAGCTGTTGTCCCCTTGTGCTTCCCAAAGAAGTTGTTCTCGTTCAGAAAGAGGACGGATGGAGTGGATGCTAGCTCGGTACAGATTGCTACCGATCACCACCCAAGCTGTTTGAACTCGATCTCCTTCTCCTTGTCCAGGTACCCATTCATGTAGTACCACACGACCAGGTCCAACCCAACGTGGTCTCATGACGTGTTTCTTTCCACCCTTGTGCCCCTTGTAAAGCGTGGTCTTCAAGAACTTCCGCCATAGCATCACAGGTTGGGCGATGTGGTAGGTCCGAATCGGCTGGCGGATGGAGGTGTTCTTGAGCTTGGAGAGGACCACAGCTGCTTTTGCCTTACGGGCGCAATCTTCAGCAAGTTGCCTTTGGTTGAGGAGTTTGGCAAAATCAGGTTCATTGCGATCCAGGGGAGACATCAATTGGCGTCTCATCTCTTCCTCGCCGACGGATGCCTGTCGTCCGAAGGCCCATTGGAAGCTAGTGAAGCCTTTGTTGAACTCGGTGTTGTTGATCGCGCTGGTAGCACTTGCCAGGGTTAGTACTGGATCTTGGTCGGGCATGCTGAACTGAAGCTTAGAGGCTGTAGTTTTGACCAGGTTGATGGCGTTCTCAGCAACACCATGTGCCCATGGTTCTTGGTCGGGTGGATGTATCACCTGAATGCCAACCGAGCCAAAGAAGTCGACGAACTGCTGTGGTGTGAGGCTTTTGGCATTGTCGGGGCATAGAACCTTTGGGCGTGGTTTGTCCAGAAGCCATCTCATGGTAATGGCCTTGATGCACATCTCGGAGTTTTCCACCTTGACCTCGCCGTGCTGGTAGACGAACAGTGGTTCAGTGACTTTGAACCTTGTTGCAACATCAGTCATCAGGAGGAACTTTATCTTGTAGTCCTGATCTGGCACGGTCCATTCGCCAACATCGAGGGCGACTTGTTCCCAAGCTTGAGGAAGAGGTCGTAGTGAACCAGGTGGAATCTGCTTTGAAGCCATGCCTCCTGGTTTGGTCTCTTGGCAGTAAGGGCAGGAGTAGTTCATGGCTGCCTTGATCTTCCATTTCGGGAGGCGTGCATCATGAAGCATGCGAGCCATGTTCCTGTTCGTTGGATGTCCAGCTGAACGATGGAAACGACTGAGCTGAGCTTCCCAGCGTTTCTTGTCTTCGGGTGTTGGTTCAGGTTCATCATCAGGTCGTTCAGCCACAGGAGCATCAGGTTGTTCTCCTTGAGGATCATCCGCCGGTTCTTCAACAGGTCGTAGTGGATCATCGCCTGGAACAAAATCTGCTGGAACCTCAGTGGGCGTGTACTCATCGTCCAGGGCGTAGAGGCTCTTGAAGGCCGGGTTCACTTCGTTGGCTGTCCAAAGAAGCTTTGACCAGCGATCAGGCAGAAGTTGTTTAGCCCAGTTGCGAGCGATCGAACGGCTGAGGTTGATGGGGTAGTAGGCCGTCTTGTTGGTGGTCTCACCATGAATCCAATGATGTTCATGGTTGCCAACGCACCTCTTGTTGCGGAACTCGTTGTAGAAGGAGATGGAGGTCGTGGCGAATTGCCATTCTTTGCGAAGGAAACCACCTTGGTCATCTTTGAGGCCATACCTGCATCCATCAACTCTGCACCACCATACTTCTTGACCAAGTTCAGGCAGGGTCTTGTGGAAGAAGTCGTGGACGATGGGCTCCTTCCAACCTCGGCAACGTCGAGGCCATTCCCAATGTAGTTCGACCGTGGGGTCACACATCAGGATCCACGCCAGGAAAGCCACGAGGCTTCTGAGCATCTTTCGTTCTCGACGAAGGTGCTTGTTGAGAACGTCCCGCCTGTACCAGTAGTTCAGGTCGACCCAGTCACAGAAGTAGGTGCACATTGGAGACACCCAAATCTTCTTAGGCTTTTCCTTCTTGAAGACGGTCTTGAGGTCCTCATAGGTCTGGTCCTTGTAGAGGTCGAAGCCAGTGCTGAGACCAATGCGAACACCATTCAAACCTTCACGCTCACAGCATTGCGTGATGGTGGAGTTTGGCGAACAGAACATTTCCCAGACATAGGGCTTCTTTCCCAGAGGGGCGTTTCCATATCAAAACCCTACGAAATGAGCATTTCCACTACATCACCCCCCCCCAGCCCAAGGCATTTGTCAAGCCCAAACATAGCTTGTAGATGGCAACGTATCAAACCTAACCATCCTGCTCACAAAACATCTTCTTTCTCTCTGCGCGTCGTGGGTCCATCTGTGGTGAGACCAAGCGCTGCCCAGGCCAATCAGCACTCATGCCTCACTCACAACATACACAAGCTGTGCGCATACAGGCAGAAACACTGCTGGCACCTTACAAGCCCCCGACCCCTGCTTCTTCTCCTAGACGCACAGTGTGCCCCCAGCCACACTTATACAGAAATGATGTTAAGAAGCTACTTGCAACAAAAACAAAGTTTTCATGAGCCCATGAAAACATGGCATGAACAAACATGTCATGAACACATGGTATGAGCTTATGCCAATCACAACTTGTTGAGCACATGCGCACATGCGCACCTGAACACATGAGCATACACGCAGGAAACACACATGGTATGACATGAAGATACATGAACCACATGTCACATGACATGAAAAGAACATACATGAAAACTATATATAGCACCATGCGTGAACACAACACGCGCGTGACATGAACTTTAAAAACATGTTGACTGAGCTCGGCAGGTGCATGAAATCGAGGAAGCAGCAATTATCCAACTGAGGCCCCCACGCAGCAACTGCTCCAACTCAGTTTTGAGTCCTGCAAGGAAGACAAAAGGAAAACGGAAAAGAAAAACAGCGTAGCCTGCGTCCGTCCTGCCAGGTACCTCTGTAGCGTCGAGGAGAAAGTTTTCTTCTTGTGAGTTTTGGAGGCGATGGTCATGATGTCACTGATCCAAGATTCATCAAGCCATGTGGCACCAACCAAAGGATTTTTGCGCCGCAACGTGGAATCAAGAAGGTGCACATATAGGTGAAACTTAGGCCGAATGTTGAACATGTAGTAAGGACAAAACCCAATATAGGATTGATGGCACTGGAGGTAGCTACTGCAAAATATGGAGCCAACAGCTCGGACTTGTTGAATGTCCTGCTCCTCCATAAAGAGGCCATGGTCCCGGCGAGATGCAAACAGCACATCAATCACATTGACAGCACTCCACACTGTGGTCTTCACCACATCATCGCAAATCACATCAGGTCGCTGCAAGAAAGTTTCAAGAAACCTCAGGACAACGTCTGTATGCCAACCTTTCCCTGTCAGGTGGCAAAACTTTTGTGATGTCAATGATAACCTGAAGCGGTTCAGTACCCAATGCTTGGGCAACTTCTTCAACCCATGCCTGGACCACTGCACGATTTGCCTGCTGGCTGCTCGTAATCTTTCTTTCACCTGAGCGCAATAGGCAAGATCAACCCAGAAACAGCAAGAGGCCGCGTCAAAGAAACAATTAATCCAAGAAACATTATTGCCAGGAAACTGGCCAGTTCTGAGAAGAAGCAGTAATACGCTTGCTGCGAGGTCACGGCCTACCCCCAGGAACCACACATGGAGCAAGTCAATTGCCATGTGAGACAAAGTGCTGTCATGCAGCTTGAGCAAAACTGGTTCCTCCGACCAAGGCTCAGTTGGCACATCCACTCTCCACAAAGCTTCCGGCGAGAGGTCTGTAAGTGGCCTCTCCATATCCTTGCTTGCCATGCAGAGAAAACATATTCGATTGGTGGTCGGCTTCCTCTTCAAATTCAAACTCTGAACAAGGTACTTCCAATCCCCTTTGCACGTTGCCACTTTGGCGTACAATCCATCAACTCCATTGTCAGTCCAGTCATTGATGGACTCCACAACAGCCTCTAGTACACTTTGAAGCGTCATGTTCACTTGCTCTCTCATGGCGTAAAAATTTTGAGGCACCAAGGCGATCAGGAACTTGGAGCGTTTTGCTTTGCTCCAATAAGGGCTCTGTTCACTAGACCAGTGCAGGGCCATGTACGAAGTACCTTGGATCTGCGCCTCATCGCCAAACAGCTGCAAGCCTATGGCAGGACAATTTGGAGGACCTGGTCTTGAGATGCCAAACTCTTCCTGCATCAATTTCCAATACCGGTCTGACCCCTGGCCAAGACATTGTTCACTGTAGCCACAAGAGATCAGTTTATGGGCTAGCAGGTGCGGCAGAACTATCGGGAATGGTTGCAAGCTGATGTTACCTTCCCAATCTGACAGCGGGATGTGAATGTCTTTAATCACATGATCAAAGGCAAGCTTTCTTCGCACCATAGCTTTGTACGCAGCATCATCCTTTCGGGCACTTGACCTCGTCGACGTGTATGAAAACAATATATAAGGTAAGCGGTGTTAGACTTTGGGACAAGTAGCTGGAAGAGCTCACTTCCATACACATCCCCAATGCGAATCGCGTGAGCTAAGGTGGCCCTCCCATGGCCAACTTCTGACACGATCCTGGCGTTTGCGTTGACATCGGTCGCTCACGCCAGCAGGTGTATATATGTACACACCTTTCATCAAGGGCACGACGAAGAGCTTGACAACCTGTACCTGAAGAACAGCAGGATGAGCACGTCAAATTGCAGCGGGCGAGCGCAGATGTTACAACGGAAAGGCTTGGTCGATCTACTAGCCGCCTTTTGGTCTCACCTTGCGCTAGATGCTTTTGCGAGGTTCAGGCTCTATACTCTATACTGCAAAACTGGGACCACTGTGTTGCTGTGCAGCGCAGCTTTTGCGCATATTAAAAAACACACGTGTGATCCATTCCCGGTCATCGAGAAACAGGGCTCAAGGCAGGACGTAGCCCCTGGCAGCAAACGTGTTCAGACATGTTCCCAGAACTCAGAAATCCAAAGACTTGCCAAGCTGACTTCTTCAGCTCTTTCACCACAGCTTGGAGCTGAGCCACATGCATGCGAACGTCCCCAACCTGCAAGCATACCGCGCACAGGCTGGACAAGATCAATATGTAACACATCTACTTATAAGAGCTCCTTGTCTGTGACGTCCGTTAGAAACTTTGTAAAGGCATCTTCAGAGGACAGTTCCTGGCACCTGAAACATCAGAATGATTTGACAAAAATTCAATACAACAATGCACAAACGCACGCTCTCAATGTTCACAGAAAACGCCTGCGAAAGTGATTCCGCAAGTTCTCTCCCATACGCTGCAGATCCAGCAAAACCGGATCTCCCTTGACTTTGTCAAATGCAGAGGCGTCAAGAAGCACAGCGTCCAACTTGGCCAGTTCCTTCTTAATCTCTGAGCCTAAAAAAACTGCCCCGTGACACAAATCCTATGGCATCAAACTGAATTATTACTTGGTCTGTTTGACTGATACAGGTCTAGGGTCTAGGGTTTGGGCACGCTGTCGCTTTCTTGTCTTCCAGACTTTTTCCAGCCAATGCAGGGGTAGACAATCTCGACTGAGCAGCGCCCTTTGCCTTCGCCTTCGCTTTGGCTTGCCCTGGCAATTTATAAGGCAATAAAAATTTTTAGACGGACGACGTACAAAATTGTCGAGCCTCGGGGTCGCAATGGTGTTTCTGTAGGGGCTGACGGAGCTGTGGAGGCTGCAGCCGCTGCCAGCTGGTTTCGCACCATCTCATTGGGGTCAGGCACGGTTACCAAAGGAGCTGCTACACTCTTGGAACTCAATGCCTCCATGGCCTGCTGGTTGCGCACCTGCCCTGAAATCGACACAGAAGTCTCCGTGGATTCCACATTGGTCTCTTCCATGCCAAGGGTCACCCAATATCTCATGCTATCGGGATCGTTTGGTGCGTCTGCATCTGGCACACCACCTTTCGCAACCACGGCCTCAATCTTGCGCCTCAGTCACAAGGCAAGAGCACGGATCATATATAGAACAGGCAATGCACAGAAGACTCCCCCACCATACTAAAGATGCAGGGAAGATGCGTGCTGCGTCCAAGCTGTTGCATTTCTCTGATGGTCAGGCATCTGCGCAGCTTAGACAAAGTTTCCGATTGCAATCGGCGAGATGCAAACGTGCTCTCCACAGCTTCCAGGTTCTCCCCTGAAGACACAAATGCCCTCAAGGCTGAAAGCTTCTCAGTCTTGGTCCCGCGAAACATCTTCACCAACTCTGGGAAGTCAGCGGCGCGAGGACCATTTGCAACACGCTGGAGGACCATGTACTGCTTGCGGTGCGAGCTGGTGGTGACTTTACCCTCATCCATGTTGGCATCCACAGCTTGCAAAGCCACGGGCGCAGCCGCACGCTGGGCGGCAACCACCATCTCCTCTTCTTTCAGCTGTCAAGAAGGGACGGGTCCGGTTCCTCTTCAACCTCCTTGGGCAGCTCCACTGGACCAACGGCGGTCTCATGGGGCGGCTCACTCACCGCTGGAGGGGTGATCACTGCAGGCTCACCTGGTTCCCTGACGATGAGGGAAGTCCACAAGTGAAGGACAACAGAAGATTTCAATTCTCACGCAGCAGGCACTACATACATGACCCATGACCCATGCATGGCAGGATCAACACAGAAACGCATGCGCACATGGCCTAGCATGAGCGTGGCGTGGCCTACATGATGTCATGACAAGAACGGTGTCCCATGAGCCAACCCATGGCATGTCCCACATGTCGTGAACAAATGGTAATCACCACATGAATTGTAAACATACGTGGTCCCCAACAATACATGACTTCCGAATTCGGACAACAGGAACCCCTACATGCATATACATGACCCTACATGCATGAGACATGAACCCCTATATACATGAGCAACTCCAAACACCAAAAGCAAACGCGAAAGTACACACTGAGCTCTTCACATCTGCACGGCCATATTGCCTGAAGAGGTGCCACGAAGAAGGTTTTGGCCACGGAGTAAGGTAGAAATGGACCTCACATGTGTCGATCTACTCTCACAAAAATATACCTACTGCACAGACGCGGCCATGTCCGCGCCTCTCAGAACTCACAAAGCTGATTTGCCTTCGAGGCGTTACCATCCCATTTTCTCCTTCAGGCACCGCATCAGGTTGCGTGGCTGGGATCTCGGGTTCCACCGGCGGCGTCTCGGGATCAGCAGCTTCCGGGGCCGAAGGCAGCCCTGGTTGTCCAGGCTCAGCAGGCTCGGCTTCGCTAGCAGGAGCAGGCACGTCAGCTGGAGCATCCGACGGGTGCTTTGTCTCCACCTCCGGAGCCGCTGCAGGAGCAGCCTTCGGCTTTGCAGCTGCCTTTGACTTCCTTTGTTTCTTCATAGGCGGAAGCTCATCCTTCAAGTCCTTGAGGATGTCTCTGGCCTCTTTGACCTTCACACCAGTAGCTTCGGCAAGTTGCTGCGGGGTTGGCTCCATACCACCAAGTGAATCGGCCAATTCTTGGATCACCTCCATGAAGTGTTCTCCCGCCATGAGTCTGGGGACTGTCCCTACACACCCGTATCACGCACGCAGCAGGCTTTTGTCCAGAAAGCGCTCGCAGACACAACATGCACATATTCCAACTTGCAATTTTGTTTTAAAAAAAGTTACGGGTTTTCACGCCGATTACCGGGGTTATCACGGGGAAAACACGGCTTTTCACGGGTGATTTTTTTCCCAAAGCCCGAGCGCTCCAAAATCGCTCACACACGCTTGTTGACCATTTTGGCCAAATGAGTATACGCATTGCCTAATGGCTTCTCCCATGTACTTGGAGGCCTGAAGGCCGTGCTCCCTCGGATGTACGCGATCACTGACAGGGCATCCGCCTTAAAGGCAAAGTGAACCAGCCATGTTGCAATAAACCACTTCAGGCCCGTACATCACACCACGGGCCTGCCTTTGCCCAGTCAATGGCCTGCAAGCATCAGTGCATCCACACTGCCCTATCCACAAGACAACCACCTTGAACAGCTCCAGGTCACTGAGCCCGCGGTTCACAGGTACAGGGCATCTAGGCGGCGGCAACTCCTAATTACTCAACCGTTGTTAACGCTTGTCAAAATCACACAGCACAGTTGTGAAAAAGACTTGCGCCTCCCAGTCTGGCTTGTCCATCTCACCCATAAGGTGTGACAGGTGGACACCGAACCTTTCATGGTAGGTCCTTACACCGGAGCACTCCAAACAAGAAAGCAGCACAAGTGCAAGACAGATGCATCACAGCTTCTGGGACGCTTTCAAAGCATCCTTTTCCCCAGTGAACACCACCCCACCGTCAGCTGTGCGCTGCTTCTTCACCAAGCCGGGGCCTTGCGACAAAGCCTCCAGCTCCTGGCCAGTTAAGTGGCCAGCAGCGGCCTCGAGCCTCTTCAGGAGGCTCCGGTCGTTGGACCACAGCCAATGCCGTTTAGGTGAGGCAGTTGTCTCTTGCAAGGAGTGGAGAGCATATGCTCCTCCCCACATTGCTGCCCTCCATATAGGACAGCTTTGAAACAGCTCAGAGATCCGCGGGTGAATGTCGATAGCTGAATGAGCTGGTTGCTCCAGGAGGAAACGTTGATGTAAAGACAAGGCATAGTAGATCATTAGGGCAACACGTGATGCCAATCTGTTGCCAATATCAACAAAGGCATAGCCTTTGTTTCCAAGCGGGTGGAAAATGCTTCTTTGATGCGAACCAGCAGACCTCAGTCGGATAGCTACATGCGTGGGCATACCCCTGTTGCACCCCTACACAAAAAATGCATCGAAGTCACGGAAGGCAAAAACTCGAACATAAGATAGCTAGTATCTGTAAGCTGCCTTCCTTTGATCGTCTCATGCATTGCAAGCACAGCCTCCACAGCAGAAACAAACAGACGTATACGCGTCCGAAGGTAAGTGAGGGGCCGACGCAAAGCCAGCTGGCGTCAGGAAGTCAAAAGCTTTGTCCTCGTTGTGCAATATTTTGTCCAACGAAACTCCTCGGTATCCTGCCTGAGTGTCAAGATACGCACAGAATACAACATGAGCTTTGCTTCCTCACATGGTACTAGCTGGGGAGACCGCTTGACGCAAGGCTTGAGACACCTTGGCCTCACCACAGAAAAACTCTATGAAGTCATAGACCTCAGGAAGTCACACAGCAGGCGCGTCAAACAAAGGCCCGAAACCAAAGTCTTTGGCCCTAGCAATCTCTTCTTCCAAGTCAGCAAGAAAGAGCAGGTGGAGGTGCAGCAGAACTAGAACTGCCGGCACCCCCCACGCGAACATCTCAGCTACACCCATGGCCCCCGCAAAATGGCTTGAACCTACAGCGCGCAAACCTGGTGGAAAGTTTAAGAAACATCTGCAAAGGCATGAGCGTGCGAAAACCACTGCATCCTTTTCAGCACACCCCAGGTTATCATCAACGCGTGTGGCCATGTACCACAGCGACAAAACTAAATGCAAGTCTAGGCAAAACGGCGCCGTTTCAGCTCCGCCATTGACATGCCCTCCAAGAGAGACGATCTGTCGTTTGACATCATCCAGGCTGAGCAAGCCTCTTTGTAAGTGCTTCCTTCTTGCCTTCTTGCCTTGATGAACTCAAGGCGTTGCGCGTTGAAAGAGTTGGCGGCGTAGGTGGGTTTCTGCTCGGCCTCCTGTAATACACCCTTCTCCGTCCCACCATATTGAGGAAGAGCCTCACAGAGTTCTAATGCTTTCTCTTCCTCAGGGCCAACCAGCTCACGTTTCTTCGCTTTCTTCTTGGGAGCTTTCTGAGCTTTCTTCTTTCCCGATTTCTTGGCAGCCCTAGTAGCCTTCTGCTCCTCTGGCTCGACCGTTTCTGCATCATCTTCTCCACCAACGGTCGGAAAGGGAGCGATTGGCTTCGAAGCACTCTCCTCCAAGGACTTCAGCACAAATCCGGGCAATCTGCAATTGTCCGACCGAGCAGGCGTGGGGACTGGCCGATCCAAGGGCAACTTAGCAGCTGCCACAGCCACCGGTGCTTCTTCCAAGGCAGTGCCGCTTGGGTTGGAAGACTCGCTTCTCTTTTCTTTGAGGGCCGCAACTTTGGCGGCCAGCGCCGCCCAGTCAAATTTTGGTAGAGTCACAGCCTGCAAGTCCTCATGTGAAGCCGCCCTGGTCGACGCATCAGCTTCAGGCTGGTCAATCCTCCGCATCTACCTTTAAGTTCCGCAATCTTTTTGGACTTGGCCCCTTTTGGGCTTTCAGCAAGCAGCTTTCTGAATCGACATGTGACCTTTCGAAGGCCTAAGGCCATCTTGGCCGCCCACTGTTCCAAACATTCAAGGCTAATACCCGTAGGCACCAGCCGCTGGTCCACATAGAACTTTTGGATACTCTCCGACAACACTGCCTCCGATAGTCTGCCCTTGAGGCACACGGACAGCACGGCATAAATTGCCTGACACAAGATTTCTCAATTGAGCTTGAGCGCGGCTAGTTGTCCAATCCCCTTCCCGGCCTCTGTGTTTTGCTCTATGTCCTTTCTCGTAGCTTCGCCTTTTCCAAACAGGCCCTCACTGTGGGCTTGAATGAAATTGAAGTGCACCTTAGACCGGAGGAGCCAGCAGTCCAAACATTAGATCCATGCAGAGGCAGTGAAACTTAAGCGTGGCACAGTCTTGAGGTGGTCTTCCCGGCTGAAGGCTTCTGCATACTTTTCTACCAGCTGCGGGTCGTCCTCTAATTGCTTCAGGGTCCGCGGCATCAAGAAAGGCGGGTATTAATTGGGATGCAATATTGGACCTCAAACCTGCGTGATCAGGTGATAGCGTGGATGAACGCACACATTACACATAGCACCGGGGGCACTGGATGAGGAGTAATTCTCCCACCAACGATGCTTACGGAATCCCTGCGTATAGAATCAGTCACGAGCAACATGATTCACAAACATGTGGGGATGACGTGGACATTGATTGGACATTAGTACTACATGAAAATGTATATAAAAAGTTCGTGCGCGTGAGCCGGCAATGTCGTGAACACATGAAATCAAACTGCACTCATGACGTGAACACATACATGAAACATTATGAGACCCAACATGGCATGAACACATGACACCATGAAACCCAAAACATGAACTAGCATGAGCGCGTGAAACTATAGCACATGACTTGAACACACATGAACACATATGAGCTCATGACATGAACAAACATGAACGCATGACAAGATCATGTGCAAAAACATCTCATGAACACATGCGCGCATGACCACACAACATCTCATGAACCAACATGAACACATGACATGGCGCGACCCTTGACATGACATGAACTAAAGAAAGGTATTGTCTGAACTAAGGCTGCGACTGGCATTGGGCCTAGGCAAAGGCACTGGTGAAAGGGCTACGCTCCACCAAAAAATAAGAAACCGGCTTTCGTCGATGATCTCTTCGTACCTGGAGGCCAAAGCATGCAAGCAAGGAGAGTTGATCACCTAGCTCAAACCACTCCTGGTACAAAGGGAAGCCCTCCCACACCATCAACCTCAGAAGCTCTAGAGTCCACTCTTGCAAGAAGAGGTCACACAGCCTCAAAGAAGAAACAGTCTTGCAGAATCTTGCAGACCACTTTTCTTCCGTGAGCATTTTCAGTCCAGCCAGGATTACACTGGCCTCAGTATACCAAAAGCCAACGTTCTTCAATGAAAATGAAAAGGAGGTTTGAGGAAGCCACTCAATATGGAAAAGGCCATGAGCTATACCAAGAAGGGTCAAAGGGCCTCATCAACATGAAGCAAGAGCAATGAAGTGATCCAAAGCCATCCCACTGAGCTCACCGCATGCCCATGGGGAAGCACGAAAACGGCAGTGCGCAAGGCTGCGTCATAGGATGTGGCCACATACCAGCAGCAGGCGGAGGAGGCCTGACAGATCTCAGCAAATGACACCTTCCCTTTATAAGAGCCCCTCAGCCTTATATGCATCACCATGATGGCCGGCGGTGGTGGCTTGGGGATGACGATGATATTCCCATCTGAATGCCTGCGAAAGAAAAAATTCAACAATGAAACCATCTGAAGGGAAAACGAAGCCTGACTGGAAGCCCCGGGGGGGGCGGCGGAATGGGTTGGACAGCTCCGTCACGGCCAACAGGCGCAGCAATGGCCGCAGTTGGTTCAGCCTTTGGACGCACAGGCATCGGCTTGGGAGATCTTGCTTTCGATGCCCTGGCGTAGTCCTCCTGGCAGCAAATTAAAAAACTTTCACCCAAATTCAACTATGTCAGCATTACCCGACCTCCATCTTGCGAAGTTCAGCGCGTTTCATCATGATCCGCGCCATACCAGCATCAGGCTTCGCCTTCACTGCAATGACCTCCGGGCCCGGCGAAGCATCAGTACTGGAACGTGCGTCGTCCGCCGTGGCGCCCGTTCGGTCTCCAGGTGCGGTCTTAACCTTCGAGCGCGCTGCCTGGGGCAAACAAACAAAGAAAAAATATATTACAGCAATCAATATATATATATACAACTCACATATACCCGAGCCT